GAGTTGGAGTCTCACTCTGTCACCCAGACTGGAGTGCAGTGGCCACTCCTGGTCACTGCCACCTCAACCTGCTGGGTTCCGGCGATCCTTCCTCCTCAGCCTTCCAAGTATCTGGAACTACAGGCGCGCGCTACCACGCCTGGCTAATTTTTGATTTATTGTAGAGATGAGGTCTCGTCAAGTTTCCCAGGCGGGTCTCAAACCCGCAGGCTCGCAATCCACTCACCTCAGCCTCCCAAAGCGCTGGGATTACAGGCTGAGCCACTGAACCCAGCCTTGAGTGGAGTTTTACTCAGTTGCCCAGTGCATTGGCTCGCTCATGGCCACCGCAGCTTCCACCTGCTGGGCTCAGGCGATCCTTCTGCCTCTGCCTTCCAGGAAGCTGGAACTACAGGTATGCGCCATCACGCCCAGCTATAATTTTATGATTCATTGTAGAGATGAGGTCTCCCCAAGTTGCCCAGGCTGATCTCTAACTACTGGACTCAGGCAATCCTCTTGCCTCCACTTCCTAAACTGCTGAGATTACAGGTGTGAGCCACTGTACCTGGCTCATAACCTTTTTTTTTTAATCACAAGTAACAGTGTGCTATATAATTGTTCAGCACATTTATGTAATGTTTTCCATAAAGTGCCACATCATTCCTTTTTTTCTTTTTTGGATTTGGGGAATCTCACTCTGTCACCCAGGCGAGTACAATGGCACATTCACGGATCACCTCAGCAACAGCTCAGGCAGTCTTCCTACTTCAGCCTCACAAGTAGCTGGGATTACAGGTACATGCTACCATGCCTGGCTAATTTTTTTTTGAGTTGGAGTCTCACTCTGTTGCTCAGGCTGGAGTGCAGTGGTACGCTTACAGCCACCATAGCCTCAACCTGCTATGCTCAGGTGATTCTTCCACCTTAGCTTTCCAAGCAGCTGGAATTACAGGCATGCACCACCATGCCCGTCTAATTTTTTTTATTTATTGTAGAGTTGCGGTCTTGCCAAGTTGCCCGGGAAGGTCTGGAACCGTGGGCTCAGGCAATCCTCTCACCTCGGCCTCCCAAAGTGCTGGGATTATAGGTGTAATTTTAAAATTTTTTTGCAGAGACAAGGTCTCACTCTGTTGCCTAGGCTAGTCATGAACTTCTTTGCTCAAGCAGTCCTCTCACCTCGGCCTCCCATAGTGCTGGGATTATAGGCATGAGCCATGATGCCCGGCCCATCATTCCTTTTTCTGGTGTCACATATTCCACTGAAGGAATTCCATCATTCGTTTTTCCGGTGTCAGGTATTCCACTGAATGGGTGGTCCATAACGCTGTCTGATCAGGTCCCTACCATGGGCTCCTGGGTGGTTTCCTTTTCTTGTGATTACAGATAATACCTGGGAAGTAACTAACCTCGGGCATATGTTCTTTTACACGTGGACAAATATACCTGCTGTCTTTTCTTCTTGAAATAAAAGGCCACTGTGCTTTCCTGTGTTCACTCAGTGTGCACCTTTTCGTGAGTGTTTGAGAGAAGCCAGCTGTGGTGGTTTCACCGCCTCGGTGGTTGAGGAAGCGAGCGTGGGAGTTCTGTGGTATTTCCAGATCACTTGTAAACAATTAGATTCCAAAGGTTCTTTTTCTTCCTTCTCAATTTCCCAAACTTTCCAGGGACAATGGTGTGCTCTGTGGTCCCTAAAAAAAAGTCTTTATGTAATTCCGGCTATTCGGAAGGCTGAGGCGGAAGGATCACTGGAGCCCAGCAGGTTGAGCCTGCGGTGGCTGGGAGCGGCCACTGCACTCCAGTCTGGGTGACAGAGTGAGACTCCAACTCAAAAAAAAAAAAAGAATTAAACTGTGGAAGCCGAGAGCCCAGAAGCTGGTCTTGTTCCCACTTCTTACAGCATTTCAGTGTCCCTTTTCTCCCTCCCTGAAGGCATTTGCCAGGCAGGGAGGTGTCACCTCTCTTCTGGGGTAGAAGTGGGAGTCTAGGGTGCAACAGGGTGGGGCCGAGGTTAGCCTTTCCAGCTAGTCTGGAAACAGTGTTCCTTTTGTGTGCGTGTTTTTGAGTCAGAGTCTCTGTCGCCCAGGCTGGAGTGCAGTGGCACACTCATGGCCACCATTGCTTTGACCTCCTGGGCTCAGGCGATCCTTCCGCTTCAGGCTTCGAAGTAGCTAGAACTACAAGTGCATGCCACCACGCCCGGCTAGTTTTTTGATTTATTGTAGAGACAAGGTGTCATCATGTTAGTCTCAAACTCCTGGACTCAGGCAATCCTCTTGCCTCTGCCTCCCAAAGTGCTGGGATTATGGGCGTGGCCACAGTTCCTGGCTTTTTTACTTTAAAAAAAAATTTTTTTTTAAGAGCCCATAATCCCAGCACTTGGAAGGCTGAAGCAAGAGGATTGCCTGAGCCTGTGGGTTCGAGACCAGCCTGGGCAACATGGTGAGATCTTGTTTCTACAGTAAACCAAAAAATTAGCCAAGCATGGTAGTGCGCGCCTGCAGTTCTGGCTACTTGGAAGTCTGAGGCAGAAGGATTGCTGGAACCCAGCAGGTTGACAGTGGGGTGGCTGTGAACGTGTCATTGCACTCCAAACTGGGCAGCGGAGTGAGACTCCAACTCAAAAAAAAAAATTAGCTGGGTGTGGTGGCGCATTCCTGTAGTTCCAGCTACTTGGAAGACTAAGACAAAAGATCACCTGAGACCAGCAGGTCGAGGTTGCGGTGGCTATGAGTGTGACACTGCACTCCAGCCTGCGATACAGACTCCAAGTTAAAAAAAAAGAGAGAGAGAAAGTTTTGCTCTGTCACTAGGCTGACGTATGGTGATACAATCATAGCTCACTGCAACCTTAACCTGCTGGACTCACGTGATCCCCCTGCCTCAGCCTCCTGAGTAGTTGAGACTACAGGCACATGTTACCACACTCAGCTAATTTTTAAAAAATTTTTGTGGAGATGGGTCTTGCTGTGTTGTCCAAACTGGCCTCAAGTGATCCTCCCACCTTCGCCTCCCATAGCACTGGGATACAGGTGTGAGACATATGCCTGACCAGAAAATCCTTTAAATATTCCACTTTGCCCATTTGTAGGACACTCTGGGGAAGGCTGATTGTGCTCAGAGGTGGACTTCCAATCTAGGTTCTCTGAGGAGGCGGTCACTAGATTAGCCTTGCAAAGGATATGCCATCATTTCTTCCTCCCACAAGAATCCTTAAATTGCTCCCACATTTGAAGCCTTTGATTTAAATTAAATCTGAGGCCAGGCACAGTGGCTTATGCCTGTAATCTCACCACTTTAGGAAGTAGAGGTAGGAGGATTGCTTAAGGCTAGGAGTTTGAGACCAACTTGGGCAACGCATAGCAAGACCCTGTCTCTACAATAAAAGAAGAAATTAGCAAAGCATGGTTGTGGGACACACCTGTAGTCCCAGCTACTCAGGAGGCTTAGGCAGGAGGATGACTTGAGCCAGGAGTTTGAGGCTGCAGTAAGCTATGATCACACCACTGCACTGTAGCCTGGGTGACAGAATGAGATCCTGTCTCTTAAAATAAAGTAAAATCTGTTACATTGTAGAATGTCTTTCTTTCTCTTTTTTTTTTTTTTTTTTTTG